TGCAGGCCGGGCTTTTGAAGATGGCCAGGAAGGGTCATTCTGGCGGGTCAGCCAATGCTCCTCATCCTGTGCGGGCAGGAGGCTCTCAGCATATGTCAATGGCTCGGAGCCAGGTGACTAGTGCAACTGTAGCCCTCGCTCAGGGAGCGCAGAAGAGGAGAGCAGAGGAGCCGCTACCCCGGGAGGCGGGGAGGAGACGCTTAGAAGAGGAGCCGAGGAGAGACCTGGGAAAGCGACCCGTAAGCTCGACTACGGCAGAGGTTGAGAAGAGGGCGAGCAGGGACCCTGTTACTAGACACTTGGAGCCGTGGGTGGATGCGGAGATGGTGATTGGCTCGTACCAAGAGGCGGTGAAGCAGATGCTGAGGGTGGATGTGGTGGAAGGACTTTTCACCGAGGAGATGGGGTATAGTGGCATGACTTTGTCCGCTCTGGAGGATCAAATGAAGGTACTTGTGGCTCTTCTCTACACTTAGTTGTGATGGTGGAAAAATATTATTTATTTTTTGTTGCCTTACTTTATGTTTGCAATGTAGGCCACCTTGAAGTTATTCGTCGCCACCCAGAATGTTGCTGCTCACCGGGAGTTTGACCGAGGCCAGAGGGATGAGCAAGCGGTGACTGTGGCCAAGCTGAACAGGACGATTGGAGAGAAGGCCAAGGTGGAGGAGGAGCTGGGGCTTGTGTGGGGTCGGCTTGAGGCTGAGATGAAGAAAAATGCCGAGTTGCTGTCGTTGGTGAATCTGGTGAAGTCACAGCGGGAGTTGGATGAGGCAAAGTCACAGCGGGAGTTGGATGAGGCGAAGCAAAAGATAGAGGCCCTCTCTTTCAAACTGCAGTCCTGTTATGACGACGCGGTGAAGGACTATATTCAGTCGGCCGAGTATCAAGAGAAACTCGATAATCAAAGGGTTGAAGGATACTTCGACCTGATTGAAAAGGTGGGGGAGAAGTATCCTGCCATTAATTGGAGTTTTTTGGACAATGAGGCTAAAGAGGCCTCTGCTGAGGTTGTGAAGGGTGGTCGTGGGTGTCCCGAGTGCTAAGCCGATGATGCCCGAGCCAGCGGTCTGGGATGTTGGCGTGACGTAGCCTGCTTTAGGTCCGAGCCCGTTGGGTGAGGTGCTGAGCCAAGATGGTGTAGTAGCCACTGTTGAGGACATTGGAGATGTGTAGATTTTGTGTTTTCTTTGCTTTCCTTTTGTAACCTCTGTAAAAGTACCTTGAAACAATTTTGGCCGGCCTTTGGTCGGCTCGATGGATGTGGTCGTGATTTTACTTTGACTTTCTTTTAAGATTTAACTTGTACTTAGTTTACTCTGGGCAAATTTTTCTTGTCGTGAGCATGCATGTGCTTATTTGTGTGAGCAGAGCCGACCAGAGGCTGCTAAAGGGTAAATATGCTAGAATAAAATAAAAAAAGGGATAAAAACAAAACATGGAACTTCATTAAGTAGATGCATAGTTGTACAATGATTTCACACCGAGCACGGCATCAGCTCGGGTAGGTTCGATACCGTGCTAGTGCTCGGGGGGAAAACATAGTAGTTGATAAAACGGGCAAAAATAGTTGGTGTGCCTGGTTGGGGGCATACTTGCCACCTAGGAATAGTACTTCCTAATGTGCTCAGCGTTCCATGGATGTAGCAGTTTCTTGCCATTCAGCTTGGCGAGCCGATATGTTCCGGGGCAAGCTATGTCTACAACTCGGTAAGGTCCTTCCCAGTTAGCCCCCAGAGTACCTGCTGTTCTGTCCTTGGTTCCAAGTAGCACTTTTCGAAGGACCAAGTCTCCAGGGCAAAAGTTACGTTCGCAGACGTGCTGGTCGTAGTACCGAGCCATGCATTGCTGATATGTGGAGAGATGGAGAGCGGCGCGGAGGTGATGTTCTTCTAATAGGTCCAAGCTTAGGGTGAGTTGGTCGGTATTTTGCCTAGGAGTGTAGTGGTCGACTCTGTGGGTAAGGATGCCGACCTCAACAGGGATAACTGCCTCGGCTCCGAATGCGAGCGAATATGGGGTTTCTCCCATTGAGGTGCGCTCAGTACAGCGGTAGGCCTATAGCACCTCAGGTAGCATTTCCAGCCAAGCTCTATTCTTAGCCCCCAGCTTTTTCTTGAGCGTTCGTTTGAGGAGCTTGTTAACTACTTCCACTTAGCCATTCGCTTGTGGGTGGGCTAGGGATGAGAATCAGAGGTTGATCTTGAGGTCCGAGCAAAAGTCTTAGAATTTTTTACAATCAAACTGCTTGCCGTTATCCGTTATGATGGTTTGGAGATATTTTTATAAGAGAAGTTTATTTTAAACCCTGTTTAGGCTTTCTTTTTATTTTATTTTAATTTTTACTTTCTCACGCACCGGGCGTGGGATTTCCACCGACTCCCGAGTTCGGGGCGTGACAGAATGGTATCAGAGCTTTAGGGATTAGATACCCTTGGGAACTGTGGTATAGTATTACTACAAAAATAAGTTTTAACCGGTGAAGTGAGTTAGTAATATAACTTTTCTGGACCATATTTATTTTTATGATTAAAGTGTAGTTTACGTAATAATTGTTTAGTATTGTGTTATATATATATATATAAGTTTAATCTGATAGAAATATTTGGTAAAGGTTTAATTGTTAAGATGGCTGGAGTAGAAAGGCAACATGACAATGATGAAAATGGTAGTATGAGGGCAATACTAGCCATTCAGGATATGACCTATGCTATTCTCGAAACAAATCCAAATAACTATAAGCCTCATTAGGAAACTTAGAACGATCAACTAATGAGGATTCAAGGAGAATTTCGTAGACACGACCACTTGTGTTCAAGGGTGAAGTATGGTTAAGACAAATGAGGAGAAAGATGAATGAATAAAGAGTTCCTAGAAATCTGAGAGTGACCACTGCTTCTACCTATTTGGAAGGACAAGCTTATCATTAGTTGGAATCTGTCTTGGCTATGCCTGGTGTTGAGAATGCAACTTGGGTTGCCTTTGAGACAATATTTCTGGAGAAATATTTTTTCTGAAATAATGAAATCCATGAAGGTACGTGAATTCACTAATCTTTATCAAGGTGATATGACTGTGGGGCAATATCATGCTAAGTTTGAAGAACTGATGCGTTTTGCTCCTTACATGATTCCTGATGAGTCTGCAAAAGCAAATAAATTTGAGTCTAGAGAGGTCAAGGAGAAAGTGGAACTTTTTAAGTTGAAGAAGTATGCTGAACTTGTTGATCGTGCCTTAACAACTGAACAAAGGATACTTAGTTCTAAGAGAATTTTGGAACCTAAGAATCGTAACGGGAGACAAAATAGTAAATGCCAAAGATTTTTCCCCTCTCGTTCTCGGTATCAAAATCCAAGATCATTTGAGGCAACTCAAAACTCAGGATTTTGTTATCATTGTTGGTCCTGTTAATCAACAGGCACAAGAATCTGATTCTGTGTATAAAGACATTCGAACTAAAATTATAACCGGAGAGGCACCACATGGATGGAATATCCACACATATAGTAGATTAAGATATTTAGATTGTATGTATAAGAAATTTCTGTTCTAAGAAAGGAAGTTTTGAAAGGAGGACATCATTCGTCTTATACAATTCATCCTGAAGGGACAAAGATGTATCATGACCTGAAATGTAACTTTTGGGTGGAGTGGCATGAAGGGAGATATAGAAAAATTTGTACCAAAGTGTCTTACATGTCAGGAAGTGGAAGTTGAACATCAGAAACCGTCAGGTCCATTACAGCCATTACCAGTAGCAGAGTGGAAATGAGATCATATAACCATGGATTTTGTTATAGGTTTAGCTAGATCTCCAAAGGGACGAGATGCAGTGCGGGTTATTGTGAATTGTTTGACCAAATTTGCACATTTCCTACTGGTCAAAACAACAGATTCCACTGAAAGTCTTCGAAAGCTTTACATTCGAGAGATAGTAAGATTACATGAAATTCCTATTTTTGATTGTATTATATAGAGATTCCAAGTTTACTTCTAAATTTTGGAGAAGCTTATAGAAAGTGTTGGCTATGCAACTAAATTTCAGTACTACTTTTTATCCCCCAAACTAATGGACAATCAGAGAGAACTATTGAAATTTTAGAGGACATGTTGAGAGCATGTATTCTAGATTTTGGTGGAAATTAGGAAGATCATTTAGTGTTAGTAGAGTTTGCCTACAACAACATCTATTAGTCTAGGATTCATATACCACATTATGAAGCTTTATATGGAAGACCTTGTTGATCGCCTGTGTGTTAGATTGAAGTAAGAGAAACTATATTGCTAGGACTTGATTTCGTACAAGAGACAACTGCAAAGATTAAAGTTATCAAGCAACGTCTCTTAATGCTCAAATTCGACGAAAGAACTATGCAGACTGAAGAAGGAAACCACTAAGTTTTGACGTCGGTGATTATGTGTTTCTTAAAGTCTCACCACGAAGAGGAGTAAAAAAAAGGTTTGGGAAGACTGGAAAATTATCACCAAAGTTTGTTGGACCATTTGAAATCTTAGAAAGGATTGGTGAAGTAGCTTATAAGTTAGCATTACCATCTCAACTTTTGATTGAATGTACATAGTGTTTCCCATGTTTCTATGCTTCGAAAGTATGAGCCTGATCCAACTCACGTTCTAGATTGGGGAGAGCTCAATTTAGATGAAGAACTATCATTTGAGGAAGGACCAGTACATAATTTGGATCACAAGGAACAAGTGTTACATACGAAAGCAATACCATTGGTCAAAGTTCTTTGGGTACATGGGAATACAGAGGAAGCTACATGGGAATTAGAAACTGAATTAGAAACTAAAATGCGTAAGAAGTGCCCATAAATTTTTCTCTGATTCCAGTAAGTTTTTATTTTTAAATTTCGAGGACGAAATTGCTTTAAGGAAGGTAGATTGTGAGAGTCCGTTTTCTTAAATGTTGAATAAATAAAAATAAATGTTATTATATATTCTTAAGTTATTATCTTAGTAAGAAGGAAAAATATATTTATAGTTGTTTTACTTTTAGAATACCATTTCAATAGTTATATATATTATTCTATAATATATATATATATATATGTTCTTTTGAATAAAAAATGTTTATTTAAACTATATATTTATTTATTATTGCTTGAGATGCCATTGGATGGTTATTGGGTGCTTTATATACTTAATTGAGGACATTGATCAGTGTGGTGTCCATGCATAGAGCACACGCTACAAGTGGTTGTACTTTGCACTTTGGATCCTTCAACAACCTGCGAAATAAGAGTAGAGAGATTAGCCATTTGAGATTGAAGTTCTGAAATAGCACTCACCTCATTAACTTGACTTGGCCATGTATGATCTCTCCCTCCAACACCTTCGTATTGTTGTGCATTCAAAGCTCGGTTTGCTATTAAGATCTTCGCAGCAACTGGTGTTTTGTCAACCAAAGCACCTCCTGCTAAAGCATCAAGCATTCGTCTCTCCAGTGGAAGTAGTCCTTCATAGAAATATTGAATTAAAAGCTCTTCCTTCATTTAATGCTGTGGGCAGGATGCAACTAACGTCTTAAAACGCTCATAGTACACTGGAAAGGATTCTCCCTGGCCCTGTTGAATTCCACTAATTTTCTTCCTCAAAAGAATGACTCTTGAAGTTGGGAAGAATTTCTCTAAGAATGCTTTGTTCATACTTTCCCAAGAAGTAACGGTTCCAGGTGCTAGTTCATAGAGCCAATCTTTAGCCTTGTCCATATATTTCCATCCACGTTAATAGGTGTCATACTTCAAATTCTTGTTTGGATCTTCCATGGACAGCCCATGGTATTTGGGAATGTGATGTAGCAAACTCGACTTCAATTCAAACTCATCGGTCTTGCCTGCAGCTGCCCCAGGGTATTGAATGCAAAGAGGGACTGCATTGTCCAATCCAGAGGCTAAAAGTTCCTTGATTGTTCAATTGTCTATAGCCATGTCTTGTTCCTCTTCCAAGTCCGTTTCAGCTTCAGATTCAGATTCGGAACTAGAATTAGAGGGATTGAGTTCTGGCTACTTCCTCTTCCTTCTCAAAGTTCATTCGAAATCGTCGTCAAAGTCCAATATGTCTGCACGAATATGGTGTGAACTTCGAGTCATAAACTAGTACCTAAAACAAAAAAAACAAAACAAAACAAAATCAGAAACACAAGAAAAACGAAAACAAAGGGAAGATTAGCAATTTTGCTAATCATCGGCAACGTCACCAAAATTTGGCGTGAGAAATAACTAACGCACAAATTAAACCCTATAAATTATGCAATTGTAGTACGAGTGAGTAGGGATCGTTCTATTCCAGGGATTAGGAGGGATGCTAATCAACACAAATTAAACTTATTAAACTGAAAACTAAGTTAAGGGAACAATGATTGGGGGGAATTTGGACAGTTTAGACTAAAGTAATATTGATTGCAGCAAACAACTAAGTTGTGAATGAAATACGGATGAAGGGATAGCTAGAGGATTCTTCTCCACACATGGAACATATGCACACAAATCGATCTCCAGTTACTCTTTGTATAAAGTATGAATGACAAAGCCCCAAATTAATTGTAAATGCACTAATTAACTCCCAGATTTTCCTAAGTTCATTGAATTGGACTCAGCGACGCAATCAAATTATTCTTATCAAGTTCCCTATATGAAAAACATGATAGAGATACATATCAAAGATCATTAAGTTCCATGAAAATCATAAGTCTTGACAAGGCATTTGTAACTATGAAAAGCATGATACTCCTGCTAGGAATTTACTTAACGCAGTCAAGACTAGTGACTTTTACTACTTGTGAATATAAGTTCATAACAATTAGGTAAAATTCCCTTATATTCTAGCACCAAATCCCTGCATACAAACTAAGTATGCATCCTTAATAAACATACAAGAATAAGTCCTCAATAAAACAGAAGAGTAAATCACATTCATACTATATGAAACCATAACTGGAAGTAATCAATTCATATAAAACATATGTCCATGGCTTCGAATTCACCTCTAACTAAGAAGAAATTCAGTCACACATGTTCATAATAATTGAAAAGCAATCTAGAATAAACATTTAAACTAATCAAGGGAAAAACTCTGAAAACCCTAATGGAAGCAGGAGGTTCCGGCTCCAAGTTCTTCTCTCTTTCTCCTTCTTGCTACGACAAAAAAAAAAAACTACTTTCTCCTGCGGCAACCCCTCCTTTATATATATGGTAGATATAGGGTAAAAAGGCCCAGCAGAAACCCTCCAAATTAGGGTTTTGTTTGCAGATTTCTTTAGGAACAAGGATAGGGCCCAAGCGCCACCTTTTTAGGAAAGGGGTGCGGCCCCAATGCTTTCTTCTAGAACCATGTTCTTTAGATTTCCTAATCTGAAATTAATCCTCCCCTTTTCCTGCTGGAATTTAGGTAGAATAGGACTAGGATAAGGTAAAATAAAATAAAATTAGTTTGGGTTTTTTTCTTCTTCCCAGAAGCTGATTCTTGAATTAATTTCCCTATCTTTTTAGCACATTCCTAGCCTCTTTGAACTTCAAAAACGTCCATCCATCTTACCCCATGCATATGCTATCCATTCCAAATCTAAAACTGCTCTAAAATGCTCCAAAATGCCCTTTCTTGCCAATCTTGCCATCTGGACCTACAATAGTACGAAAATAAGCTAAATCACTCAAATAAATGGGAATTAACAAAGTAAATGCAAAGAAATAAGATTGCAAAGTCACATAAATATGCTCCTATCATGTAACTAAGTATCCCAAGAAGCGGCCGGAGGATACACCAAACGTGCATTTACTTGGGTTCAACTTCATGTGATACTGGCGGAGCAAGCTGAATGCCTCAGTGAGGTTTTTGGGGCCTTGACTAGCATGTCGTCCACATATACCTCCATAGTTTTTCCTATTTGCTCCTTGAAGATTTTATTCACCAGCCTTTGGTAGGTTGCTCCGGCCTTCTTTAGCCTAAAAGGCATGACCTTATAGCAGTAGGTCCCTCTCTCGATGATGAAAAAAGTTTTCGTCTTATCATCCGTGTGCATCAAGATTTGGTTATAGCTGGAGTAGGCATCCATGAAGCTAAGCAGCTGATTGCCAGAAGTGGAATCCACGAGTTGGTCGATTCTCGGCAATGGGAAGTTGTCTTTTGGGCATGCTTTGTTGAGAGCGGTGTAATCGATGCAGACTCTCCACTTGCCCTTCTCTTGTTTTGCCACTAGAACAACGTTGGCAAGCCACTCTGAGTAGGAGACCTCTTCAATGAAGCCAGCAGCTAGGAGTTTGTCAATCTCGGCTTCGATGATAGCAACTCGCTCGAGTGCGAAGTTGCGTCTCTTCTGGGCCACTGGCTTGCAAGCAGGGTTGACGTGGAGTCGGTGACAGATGATTTTCGGGTCGATGCCAGGCATGTCTGACGGCGACCATGCGAACATATCTTTGTTATTCTGGAGGAGGGTGGTACGCTCCCCCTTCTCGTCTGGGCTTAGGCGCGAGCCGATCCGCGCTTTTTTGTCTTGCTAATCAGGATCCAAGGGTATTAACTCGACGTCTTCCTCAGGTTTCCATCCTTCTTCAGGAAAGACCTCTGGACGGATTTCCTCAGCTTGGTCATGACGCTTTGATTGCTATAAGATAGCAAGATTCGGTTGTTCAACCTCCTTCAGATTTGCCTAGCTTACAGGGAGGAATTACGCTTGCTTGCTTTTCTTCAGCCCATATCAATCACGCATATGAGCCATTGGCCTATAACGGCAGCCTATATATTAATGAGCTTCAATAATCTTGTTAGAATATCTTCCCACCAACCATTGGCCCTCACCACCATCTGCCAACCTTCACAGTAACTCCCAAAAATGCTTCTTCAAATTTGTTACTGGATTCCCGTAAAAACCTGTAAAACGAAAACTAATTCTTTTCATGCCAAGAACGTAAGCATCAATATGTCCAACTGAAAAAGATCAAATGGTTACATCCACCCCATGCTGCCATAAGACGGATAAATCGCCCGATCGTCTATTTCGACTAACACTGAAACACCCTCCCAAACCTAACTGTCGTCTCACCCCCTCCATTTTCCACACTGTCTTCTTGATTTCGGACTAGAAGACAACATTGGGATTTTTGTCTCCGAGAAGGAATCTCATAGCTCAAAATGTTCGTGGATTGCCCAACTCACCCCACTTTTTTGCGAACCGACTCTTTTCTTTGGGCTAACTCTAGCTCGAGGCCTATCAACATGATACCCCCTACCCTTCTTTTTATCCATAGGCGTCTGTGCGTCAGCAACCACCCCCACCTCCTCCATTTCCCTAATCACAACCTGTTTTCCTTTATTTCCAAGTCCCTTATCTACTTATGCTTGAAATTTTTCCACCATCTCATAGCTTGCAGTAATTCGTACTTCACAAAATTATGGAGTTGATACTTCCTGCCACCGTCCTCTAATATCCTTCTCTTTGGTGTTTGTCTCTCAAACAAATCCTCAATAGCATCTTCCCTTTCCAAGCCTCTACCCCATCATCTTGGACATTGAACACAGACTTGAAAGACCTAACAACTCTTGAGACTCGCACATCTTGTGCTCAAATTTACGCCTTATGTGAGCCAACCACTGAACGCGAAATATCCTCACCCAACCAAAATATTTTACCTTTCAAGACATTCTCAGCATATATACTATAAACCTCCTTCACTGTTGTTTTCCACCTCCCAGATTGCTCAACGACCAGCCACCAACCCCCCCCCCCCCCCCCCCCCCCCCCCCCCCCCCCCAAAACAAAAAAAATCAATGCAATTGGTTCCAACATGATCGAGTCTTCCACAAAAAAGACAGATAAAGGAAGTTGTTCGTACTTAATTTCATATTGTTTTGCTGGTTCGTTCGGGGCTAGACAAAGCGCCACACGTTGCTTCAGTGGTTCATTAATTAGCAAACTAATTAAGATATGCAGAAAGCATCCTAAATAGTTCCTATTAAGCCCCCAATCAACCGTAATATAAGTGCCCATGAAATTCCGTATCTTTTCTCCCATTGCCGGTATTAGAAAAAGTGGTGGTATTTGCCGAACTCTAACCTAGAAACATTGAATATCCATGGCCTCAAGTAACAACAAAGCTCTATCAAAGGTCCAAGATGACCCCCTCAAAACTTTCTTCCCATCAAAATCATACTTGAAGTGTAACATCCCACATCGACCAACGGAGAGGGGGTGATGAGTCTTATATGTACATGTCTGCCTTCATCTAACACGAGGCTTTTTGGGAGCTCACTGGCTTCGGAGTCATGGGAACTCCGAAGTTAAGCGAGTTTGGGCTAAAGTAATCCTAAGATGGGTGACCCACTGGGAAGTTGCTCGTGAGTTCCTAGAAACAAAACCGTGAGGGCAAAAGGGGGGGCCAAAGCTGACAATATCGTGTTACGGCGGAGCCGATCCCAAGATGTGATAATTTGGTATCAGAGCCACTCTGCTGTGTGGTACGAGTGTGCCGACGAGGCCGTCGGGCCCCTAAGGGGGTGGATTGTAACATCCCATATCGATACAAGGACGTCGGGCCCCTAAGGGGGTGGATTGTAACATCCCATATCGACCAACGGAGAGGGGGTGATTTGCCTTATATGTACATGCCCGCCTCCATTTAACATGAGGTCTTTTGGGAGCTCACTGGCTTCGGAATCATGGGAACTCCGAAGTTAAGGGAGTTGGGGCTAGAGCAATCCCAGGATGGGTGACCCACCAAGAAGTTGCTCGTGAGTTCCTGAAAACAAAATCGTGAGGGCAGAGAGGGGGCCCTAAGCGGACAATATCGTGTTATGGCGGAGCCGATCCTGGGATGTGACATGAAGGAAAACAGAAACTGAGACACCTCGTCCAACGGAACCACCATAAACTCCTCCCGAGTTTGCCAAATTTGTTTGAAAGTCCCAAACAACACCTCTCTATGAAAGGGTTTAGCCATAAGTAGTTGCCCCGTCATAAGAAACCGCTTCTCTGTTAACGATGCTATCTCTTCAAACCCAACAAATTCAATAATTTTGTTGAGGCCCAAAAAAGTCCATGGTTAGGCCCAAATGAGTTTCCAACCCAATATGATACTGTATTAAGAAAAGTCACATATCGGAGTACACGAAGGCTCATCATATACAAGTCATAGTCCACATGTCATGCTAAATAAATAATTTGTCATGCCAAGGACTGAGATAATATTGTAAAATACAAGCCCATGCTAAACTAAGCACCGTGTCCCTCTTCAAGGATGATAAAATTGAAGTACGCCAAGCGACACGCCATGCCAAGCAAGGAATTATTATTCCGCACCCAATCACGCCACAAGCTTAAGTGGGCCCCAATCCACTTAAATACCCGAGGCTTGTTTGAGTGGGTTGTGGTATGGATGGTAATAAATTGTCATGAGGCCCATTGATGGGCCGAGAAATGGAAGTCCCAGGTTGCTTGGGAGCCTCGGGACTCAAGCCTATTTCATAGGTCCAAACATGTGGGTGAGCACAAGAGAGAAAAGAAAAGCCCATCACTCCAAACAAAAATAGCCCAACCAAAATAGCCTTGACTCAACCAAAATACCCAAACGTTTAATAAAGAAAGCCCACTTACTTAATGAACCACCTTTGCCCATACAATTACCATAATGAGCTACAAAAGCTCAAGCACTTGGCTGGAAAAACAAAAGCCACGAAGGGGAAGTCTGAAGGTCCATTATACAAAGCTGCTGGGAGGGAAGAAACAAGTTTTCAAGCAAAACATCCAAGGAACCAAAAGATATTGGCGCGCAAGGAGCCACCCTTTGAACCAGCATGTATACCGAGCCCTTTCCTTTATCAGATCTGGCCATGAAAGAAGGTGTTTGGGCCTAAATTGGCACACCCAGTATGAGGAAGTAAAAGCCCATCTCGGTTTTTGGCAGCCACCAACACTTCTTTGAAATTGGACCATAAATACACATTCAGCCCAGAGCATTAAAAGCCCCAGTCCAGAATCTACCCGAAAAATGAAGACTTGGGCTTCAAAAAAAAGGAATCAGCCCATAGCCTAATTTGGCACACCCAACCCAAACATCAAGGAACCCAGAAAAACCAAAAAGGCCAAACCAAGACTGATCAAAGTGGCAAGAAAACTTGGGTTTCAAAAAGGGCCTGGCATAAATTAAGAAAAAAAGAGGCCCAAGTCTTTTTGAAAGAGAGAGGAGCCCATCACTAGCGCATACCAAATTAAAATGTCACAGATTTGATTAAAGCCTATTTTTCAAGAACCCATGTGACCACCAGAAATGGAAAAAGTCAACAATTTCAACTATCACAGAGTTGATTGGGAATTTAAAAAGAAAAGAGCAGTGGCTGGCAAACTAGGAAGAGATATCTCTGAAACTCTGCCATCCGAAGATCAAAATCCCTTTTATATATTCAAAGATATTATTTCCACTCCAAAAAGGCACCATCTTTTCAAAGGATACGCAGGCTATGTTTTCAGAAAGAAGATAAGCAGCAAAGCAGGGATTTGTTCAAACTAAAGAAATCAAACTAACCATCACGGTTGAAATCTCACAAGGGGTAGTTAAATTGGGAAAAGGAATTAGGTTTCTTTTAAAAAACAGGGAAATGATCTCAAAGATTGATTGATAAAAGCCTGTCTGACAGAATTAAATTAGAATCCTTCCCTCTCTTGTATCTCTTTGCAGATCTTTGAGAAGACTTGCCGACCATTATTTTAAAGAAAGAAACCCTACCCCTGTGCATTTCTTATAAATATAAGAGGGAGTGAACAGGGCAGAGACACAAAAAATCACACACTCAATTCATCAATCAAACAGACAACAAGAAATCAACCAAAAAGCTCACTCAAACTCCAAGGGAAGCCAGTTTTAGATTAGAATCCCCAAAGTCCAGACTTAGAAAATAAGTCATTTAACAAGAGATCTCTCATTACAAATTTGGTTCAGCAAATGCCAAGACAGACAAAGCTTGAGTTTTTCCCAAATATGAAAACCTCAACAAATTTCACAGTGCAGTCCTTAACACACTGAGTCCTCAAGAATAGCCACTTCTGCCCTTTCAGACTGAAGAAGCCGCAGTTTTGCCCACTCAAAAGCCTCACAAAGCTTGGAGTAGATTAAAGCTCTGCCATAATTGAATTTTGGTATCGATTTATAGCTGAAGTTTAGCAGTTGAAGTTGTTGACAGCCCAGTCTAGCCCAGGCATATCCAGTCCAACCCGGATCAGAGCCTTCTATCTAGGCAGAAATGGAGTTCCAATCCTCTTTCAATCTTTCTACCGTTGATATGTATGTTTATAGTTGTGTAAAGGGAAGTTCTGCCTAAAAACAGCTCAATTCCTATCAACTATTCTGGCCAGAACAACCGTTTTTATACTGAGATAAATTATGAAAGTCCTCACCA